AATTCCTAAACCAAGCTGTTCATTACAGGGGCTTTCTGAAATGGGAAGTCCAGAAACCTGGGCTTAGTGGTTTTAACACACTTAGATGTCGAATAAATCCTGTCTGTGTTGCTCTATCACAGGTATGGAATAAAAATCTCTGATCAGAGGTAAAGAAGCAGTTCTAGGTGGTGATATCTTGAGAGAATCACAATTTTACAGAGGCAATGTCAGCTGGATGGTGTGACTGTGAGCCCCAGGACACACAAGCTGTGGGGCAGCATGAAGACAATCCAGCCCCCTTGAGAGAATCTGGTGTGGCTATCAGCAGCAGGGGTTAGAAGTCTGTGCTGAGGTCTGGAATGCTACAGCTAGAAAAGTGTAACATTCCCACTCTTCTCTGTTTGTTTCCTGGTACTGGCTGGGAGGAAACGCCAAAATACTGAAATGAGGCTATTTTTACAACCTTTATGAGCCAGGTGGAAGGAAGAAGCACCTGAACCGCCACAGGAACTTATTCTTGTGAGCTTAGCAGTGCATGCTTGAGACATATCAATAATTAATGCAATGTATTCATGGGGATGGGAGTTGTGAGACTTGCATCTCCTTAGTTGTAGCAGTTCTGGATAATTACATTTTGTTACTGTTGGTATTTGAATTTTCGAAGGATTTCATTTGTATCCCCTTTAGAATTGAAAAGTCAGTAAATGAGCAAATTTGTGTTTAAAGACACAATACTATTTAAAGTAGGTACAAAGCAAGGAGTGCTCTGTAGCAAAAATGAGGTTTAGATTAGAGTTAAGGCTTCCTGTTAGTAAATATATCTCTGGGACTAGAGGATATCTCTGTGCAGTTGTGTTTATACTGTACCAGATGAAACATTTAAAAGTTGGATGTTGAAAAAGCAGCCCCCAAAGTAGCTAATGGACATTCTGGCCCTGGCCACAATTGTAGCTGCCATAGCTGCCACAGGAGCTGCACTGTTTCCTTGCCTGTTCTCTATCTCAATTTGGCAGTTTAAAAAAGTGTTGTACAATAAATACTCCAGGGACTTCCACATGATTGCTAAAAAACCTAAACTGCATTTAGTTTGTTTATAAAAAGTCCTGGGGCCCTGCTCTGCAGAGCAAGGGTCATGGAAACACATGTTTATGGCTTCACAAATGCTCTATACTCCTTGAATGGAGAAGTTTATTTGATTTAATCAGCATCCACAGGGATCCTATAATTGCATAATAGGTAATTTATTATGGAAGTAAAAGTATTTTTCTAACTGTAGCCTATGTAGCACGGGTTTGTAGCTTTAGACTAATCCACATAGTAAAAAAGAGCTTTGCAAAGCAGTCTGACTGGAGTAGTGGTGTTCTGTGATGAGCGCATACTTGTATGGCTTTTTAATCATCAGAAAGTGTTAAAACAACAAGCACATTATCACTATGTTGGATGTGAAAACTGTTCACTGTTTGCCTGCCTCTGCAATTTGAAGTGCTCAATGTGAGAAAATGGAAAGCCAGCCCAGATGATCCAGTTAGAGGGCAGTGAATATGAGAGTAGGGAATCCAAAGTTTGTCTTTTCAACTTACACTGGAACACGGCCTTCCATCTTCTTCAGCAAAGGAGCATGGCCTTTCATCCTGGATACTGAATTAAAAACAGATATGTTTGTTAAAAAAAAAGAAAAGAAAATCAAACCTAGAGCTGTATAACTGTCATAGTCTTTGCTGACATAATCATCAACTGTGTCACGAAGCCAGGCAATTCTTGCACAGCCATATCATTGATAATTCTGGCTGTCCTGAAAACTGCAAAGCAACATGTGTCTGTTCTGAAAAAGCTGCTGGGATTCTATATTATGGTTGTTGTTGATGATCTCATTTGCCAGCTTGTCTTGAACTGAGTAGAGCAGTTGAAGAACTCCAATTCCCAACAGACTTTTGCAGTTTTAGAGGGAAAACTTGGGAAACCAGTTTGGCATTTCCTGAGGTTCAGAACGCTGAAGTTTTCTTTCCAACATCTGATGACCTCAGTAACACCAGAAGTAGATTGTTCTGCATTTCCTGTGAATGTTTGTGACGTCTTAATTTCCTTGCTGAACTTGGAATTCATATTTCCACATCTAAATAAAAGCTAAAACCCAAGGAACATTAACTTCTTTGGTAACTCATTGACTTTGAAGCTTTTAGTTATGCTTAAAGTTTATTAGCCTCAGTCCATGGAAACTTTGGACCACCATCTTCTCAGCTTTAGTTATATCCTGGTCCATTGAAATATCCTCTTCCTTACTGCTTCTCCCTGGGTGTGCTGTGTCATGCATGTCAGGACTAGGTTATTAATGCTTAACTCTCAAGGCATAATGTAGGCTAAATGTTCTTTAGATTAATGAAGCAAGATTAAATAGCCTGGTAAAGTTAAAAAAATCATGGTCCTAGTAAGGACAGAAAATCCAAGGATCCATTTTGAGGAGATCATGGTGTGAATTTGGACATTTGGTG